AGGCGGTTCAAACCCCGCAGCCGCTCCTCAGGAGAAAGGTGAGGCTGGCCGTCCCAGAAACCCAGTGGACGGTCACTGGGACTCCGAGTGGAGCTGGTGGCAGTGGGGGTTTGCGGCTGCTGCCCTTTGATCAGGAGGAGAGCGGACCTGGTCTCTCAGGGGCTGGTCACCATTGCACCCCGACGTACCTGTCTTCAGTCGTGGGAGAGGTGGATCCCGGCACACGGGGACTCGTGGGGACCCTGACAGAGTCCCTGGTCACCTGAGAAGCAGCTGGTAGCTTCCAGCTGCCGTCCACCCCCGGGGCGTCCAGTCCAACAGAGAGCGGCACTGCCACTTCCCCTCTGGAAGACAGGGAGACCCTTTCTGGGGACAATTCCAGAACCCGTTTTGTAAACCTGCTTGGTTACCGGCACTGAGCCCGCCAATCCCAGGAAGGTCCTGGCCTCTTTGGGGTACCTGCAGGCTCCCCCCGGTCCCGCCCCGGGCGTCTTCATAGTTCACCCTTGCGGGGGCCGGGAGCCTGCAGTCAATGGACAGGCCGAGTGGGTGGACACAGCAGACAGCTGGGGAGAAGTCCCCTGTAGGGTCTCCTCGCCTTAAGCGAGGGGCGAGCGCCTCCCCAGCCAGCAGGCTGCAGGAAGAGGTCAAGGTGCATCTCCCATGAGCTAGGCCCCAGGGCGGGCCCACCAGCAGGCCCTCGGACCCTTGGGTCAGGAACCGTGGGTCACAACCGCAATGGCTCCGCGGGCCTGGATCTGGCGGATCGTTTCTGGAAAAGCGGCCTGGTCTTCCTGCCGACCTCCAAAGTGCTCTTCACACCAGCCTTCCCAAGCTGTGCTTTGGGGGCGTATCTTGATGAGGGGCGAGACGTGGGCTTGGAGCAGGGCTGTGTTTAGCAAGCAGGCCAGGGGATTGTCCTGGGCAGGCGGGGCCTGCGCTTGGGGGACCCGCGCTAAGGAGGCCTGTCCCACCAGGTCCCCTCCAACCCGCCCCACCGTGCGTGCCCCTCTCCTCTGGGACACGGAGCTCACGCGCCGCCCCCTCCCCTCCTTGTCTCTGCAGACACAGAGCGGCTCTACTCAAAGGTGTTTCAGGACATATGTGGCCGCTATGGGAAGATGTACTCCTGGGAGGTGAAGTCCCTGGTGATGGGCAAGAAGGCGCCGGACGCAGCCGAGATTATCATCGACGTCCTGCGGCTGCCCATGTCCAAGGAGGCGCTGCTGGAGGAGAGCCAGGCCAGGCTGAAGGAGCTGTTCCCCACGGCCGCCCTCCTGCCAGGTGCGTGGTCCTTGCCCCCCGCAGGTGTGCCCCCCACCCCCGGGTGGTACTGCTGTTCGCTGTCAGGGAGCTGCCCCCGCCCATTGCGACCCCGTGCACAACAGAGGGGAGCCCCGCCCGGTCCTGCATGGCCCTCACAACTGTGCCTGAGCCTTTCGATGCAGCCGCGGTGTCTGCATGTCCCGGAGGACCTTCCTCTCCGTTGTTGCCCCTCTGCTTAACCAAGTACGATGTTCTTCCCCGGGGACTGGTCTCTCCGGACGACACGTCCCCATCCTGGCGTCTCAGGAGCACTCTGGCCTTACATCTGTCTGCCCAGACAGACGGGCTTATGCGTTTGGAACTGTGAGGGGGGAAGCTCTTGTCCCTCCCACATCCCCGGGCCCCTGCGGCACCTGCGAGGCCCATCCTGCCTCCCTGATACCTCCCCTGCCCCCAGGTGTGGAGAAGCTCATCAGCCACCTGCAGAAGCACTCCATCCCCTGCGCCGTGGCCACCAGTTCGGGGACGGCGTCCTACGAGGCGAAAACAAGCTGTCACCGAGACTTCTTCCGCCGCTTCCACCACGTGGTGCTGGGGGACGACCCTGAAGTGCACGGCGGCAAGCCCAGCCCCGACATCTTCCTGGCCTGTGCCCGCAGGTTCTCCCCGCCGCCCCGTGCCGACCAGGTCAGCGCAGTCGGAGCGCGGGGGCCATGGGGTGAAGGGGGGGTGGCTCTCTGCCCACGTCTCTCTCCTTTGACCTCGTGCGGCCTGTCAGTGGGGGCTCCAGAGCTCCTGGGTAGAGTGAGGGTGGGGCTCAAGACGTGGCCCCCACCCACCTGCCTGGCGAGCAGGTGGATGCCCAGTCCCCGACACACACACACACACACACACACACACACACACACACACACACACAAGGTTGGGGGCCTTGGAGGAACACGCCTTGGCATCTGTGCAAGGAGATGCCTGTTTGGGGAGACACAACTCCGTCCCTGAAACCTGCTCAGCTGAGAACAGAGGTTGGTGGCTCGGGTCCCCCCTGTCCAGGTTGCCTGGGGAGAGAGGCCCAGCAGTCTGTCTCAGAAGAGCCAGCCCTGAGGACCCCTTGGGCCTCGGTGAGCCCAGTCGGCACAGCGGCACCCGCTGTGACGATGTGGCTCCCCGCCCTGTGGATGTGGCTGTCAGCCCCACGGAATGGCAGTGCCCGCTGAGCTGGGTCTGAGCCCAGAGCTGGCCTTGGGTGGGTCCCATATGCGGGAGTTGGTGGAGGGGGATTGGATTCCCGGTTGCCAATCAGATCCGCCCTGTCGGACGGAGCAGGACTGCCCTGCTGGGTCTCCAGATAGTCCCCCACGAAAGGAATCAGCCAGCCACGCCTTCCCCCTCACAGAGCAGCTCCTGGTCAGCAGGCCCTCCTGGTGCCCCCTTGGTGCCCCAAGACTGTAGATGGGTTGAAACTGAGTGGAGCCTCCGGTGGGGCCTGCTCTGCTCTGCCCACCCTCCCGGGAGGCCCTGTGGGCTCCCTCCTCGGGGAGGAGCACTCCTGCAGTCCCTCCGCGGCACACGGCACATAGGCATCTTAACGTTTGCCACAGAGGAAGCAGACCTGTCCCCAGGGGCTGGTGACCAGGCGCCGGACAAGGCCAGCATGGCAGGCTCCAGGCCTGGGGCTCAGCGTCCACCGTACCCCTTTGTGAGCTCCGTCTGGGCGGCGTGTGGCCTGTTGCATGCACTGCAGGCCTGTGTGCATTTCAATCTGCGGGTGACAGCCTGGAGGCCTGGCCGGAGGCTGGCCCCACCTGTGCCCACGCTCCTCTGCGCCTCTCTGTTCTTAGCCCCACACACCTCTCTACACACACAGACCCCCACTCACCCCATCCCTGCAGCATTGCGCAGACTGCTAGGACATGCTCAGACAACAGGGTGTAGCCATGGGCGCTGAAAAGAGGGGAGAGAGAGCCCCGTGTGACCTGGCAACGCTCCTTAGCACCCGCACCCTTCCTGCAGCCCGGGGGCTGGGCTCTGAGCTGCCCAGCAGGAAGGACAGAACACAAGTCCCCGCAGACCTGGCCTGACCTGCCCGCCAGGTGCTAGCTTCTCTACGCCTTGTCAGGGAGGTCAGACTCGGAAATCAGGTCACCTGCAGGGCCCCAGGTGCGTGTCTGAGGAGACCTGCGCCCCGGGGGACCCACAGCGAGACGGCCAGGCCTTCTGAGGGACTCCCAGTGAAGGCCTCCACTTAGAGCTTCAGTGGTGCTGCCCCTGTGGTGCATGGGCCCAGCAGCCGAGCCGGGCGGGAAGGTCATTTCTGCTGGACCCCTTGGCTTGGGGCACCCTGCACCCCAGGAACACTGGCCTCCTCCCCCCCTAGGTCATGGCCGTCTCATCCGGGACACACACAGTGGCTCCCAGCCTGAGGGGTGGCTGGTTGGAAAGGCGTCCAGCCAGCACCCTGTGACCCACAGAGACGCTTTGCCCACATGTGTGGCCAGTCACGGGCACGGTAGTTCTTAACCCACGAGACTAAACCCAGAACCCCAGTTCTTTGGAGTCTCCCCTGAGCCCCAGCGCCCCGGGAACAGGATCAAACTGCCTGTGGGTCTCCGAGGCTGCCAGTCTGCAGGGGCGCAGGCAGCCTCCTCTCTGCCCACGGAGCAGTGAGTGGGCTCAAACCGCCGGCCTCTGAGTTGGCAGGAGAGAGCTGCAGCCGCTCCGGCGGTCCCTGGGCTGCTGGGGAAGCGGGCAGGCCTGGGTGTCGGCGTTGCTGGCAAAGGGCGGCCTGGCACGGAGGAGCAAGTGGGAAAGGGCTCACTGGACTGGTGAGAACCGGTCGAGAGCTTGTCTGTTCACCTTCAGAACCACGAGCCACGCAACGGCTTCCGTCCAGAATACCACCCCGGCGACTAGCGAGGTGGCAGGGAGGCTGGGAATTACAAAATAGCACAAAGACCAGAGTCTTCAGGACAAACGGTGAAACACGATCTCTGACCGAAGTGGCCTTGCTATACAAACAGAAGCAGACTCCCTGCCACCCAGTCCTGCCAACTCCGAGACCCCTGTGGGCGTCCGAGACCGTTGGCAGGAGCAGAACGCCCGGTCTTTCTCCATGGAAGCCACGGTGGTTTCGAACTGCCGACCATGCAGATCACAGCCCAGCTCTTTACCCCAGGGCCCCCCAGTCTGGGCGAAGATGGTCGTTCTCCTGGTAGACAGTCGGGGGGGCGTTCACGTCCAGAGAGTGAGCTGCCGGAATCCGGCTTCAAAAGCAAAACCACTCGCCTCCCCTCAATTGCATCTTCCTGGGGGGGTGGGGGGGCTGGGCTAATCCCCACCCACTCGTTTCCCACTCCTGGTGACCCTGTCGGGCGGGGCAGAGCCGCCCCTGTGGGTTTCTGAGACGCCTCTAAGTGCGGGAGGAGGGGGCCTGTCTCTCCGGAGGAGAGGCTTGGGCGTTCAAACCGCGGACCCTGTGGTTGGTTGGCAAGTGCTGGAGCCCTGGGTCAGTGCTGAGTTTCTGTTTGGGGGCCCGGACCGTAGATGTGCCACCCCAGGAGACGTCAAGGCTCCCATCCGGGGGTACAAGTGGAGCCTGTGTTAAGGGGCTCCTGGTGGCCTAGTGGTTACAGTTGGGCCCCTCACTGCAAGGTCAGCAGTTCAGAGCCACCAGATGCTCCTCGGGAGAAAGACAAGGCCGCCTACTCCCCGCCCGGAAGCCCACAGGGGGCAGTTGCACCCTGCCCGGTAGGGTCGCTGTGAGTCCAAATCGGCTCGTTGGTCTGGAGTTTTATGTTGCTGCCTGTTGGGACCCCGTGGCCCAGTGGGCTAAGCGTCAGAGTGCCACCGGGCACTGTACCGCCCTGGAAACCCATGGGGGGCAGTTCTGCCCCGATGTGCAGGGTCGCTCTGAGCGGGCATCGAACATTGGCAGCCCGTGTGGACCTCTGAGAAGCCCGTGTCCTGGGGCCGGTCTGCACAGGAACCCGCAGGCGCCGTGTAGATAGAGGAAGTCCCCGTTTGCTCACCTGTTCGCAGCACCCACTTACTGGTGGGGCTGTCTTAGACGAACGGGGTCCAGTTTTTCGCAGAGATCCAGTGCTATCCTGGGCAGTCTGCCCGTCCCCTGGACCGGGGGTCGTGCAGGGACGAGGGGGCCAGGCTCGCACTCCATCGGAGGCTGCGGTCACTTGCTGTGGGTGATGTCCCGTGACCTAATGGCCGTCATCTTCTCTCCCTGCCCGCAGTGCCTGGTGTTCGAAGACGCCCCCAACGGGGTGGAGGCGGCCCTAGCGGCCGGCATGCAGGTAGTCATGGTCCCTGATGGCAACCTGGACGCCGCCTTGACCCAGAAGGCCACCGTGGTGCTGGGCTCGCTGCAGGACTTCCAGCCGGAGCTCTTCGGCCTGCCGCCCTATGAGTGAGGGCGGCGCTTGGTGGCCCCTGCAGCCCCGGGGGTCACCCTGTGGCCAGACCTCGCCACCCTCGGACGGGGCCCATCCTTCCCACGGCGGCGGACTTGTGGTTCAGGCGGCCCCAAGCAGCACCCTCAGGCAGCACACCCCACAGACGGCGCCGGCACAGGGCTCGCATACCCCTGGGAACTTCAGGTGGCTGTTTCCAAGACACAGTTGCCGTGAGGTACCCTCGCTCTCCCTCCACGCTGCAATGTCCCCGTGACCCAAACGGTTCCCTGCGCCGGTGGCCGCCAACCACAAGGGGTGCCGGAGAGGAAAGGCCTGGCGGTCTCCTGACGCATCAGCCTCTGCCAACCCGGGGGTGGGGGTGTCTCAGTGCCCGCGGGCACCCGTTGGGCCGCGTGAGGCAGTGCAATGTGGCTGCACGTTCTGCCCAGGGAGTGTGGGCTGTGCCCTGTGCGCAGATGCACCTTGCTGCCCGCCTCCCCTTGGGAGGGGCTCTCCTGCAGCCATGCCGGGGGTCTCCCCGCACCCTGAGTGACACTTGAGAATCCCTTCTACCTCAGCTCACTGGTCTGCGCACCTCCCACGAGACCGACCCCCTACCCCGCAGCGCACATGCGGGTCCTCTCTCCTCGCAGCCCCCCTTGGCACCAGCCCTCAGATGCTGCACCCTGGGGGCACGGTGATGGGGGGAGGAGAGGTCCCTGGGAGTTCCTTCATGGGGCAACCTAACAAGTGCCACCACCCCGGGCATTGAGCGGCCCTTCTGGGGAAGCCCTGGCGCAGAGAGGAGTGCTGGGGGACCATGCCCCTGGGGATGTGGGTGTGCCTCAGGGTCCCTGCCCATCGCTGCCAGGGCCCCCAGCCCGCTCATCTCTTCTCACCGGCCCCCGCCCTTCTGTGGTCCAATAAAGTCGTGGGCAGGTGTTTACGTCTTATTTGTATGGGAGCCGTGATTTTTACCCTTGTAAAATCGCGCGTGTGGAGCCTGTGTGCATGCGCGTTTGTGTGAGATGTGTGTGTGTGTGTGTGTGTGTGTGTGTGTGCGTGTCCGCCAAGACATCTCTCTCGTCGGGGCTCCCCTGTGAGACGCAGCGGGGCAGCTTTGATAGAGCTGTGGTGCAGAGGCTTTGGATGGTGGCACCACCACTGGCGGCTGGGCCTGCCTTTTCTCCGTGGCAGGTGGGGCTTCTGGGCTGGGCGGGTGGAGTAGGGGCCTTGGCAGAGGGCGGGGGTGGGTAGGTGCTGGTGGAGGCCGTGGGGGGGTGCGGGAAGAGGGACTGGCAATGGTGGGCAGGAAGGTGGGACTTGGTGGTGGGGCAGGTGAGAGGAGCTCGGGGGAGGAGGTGAGGTTGATGAAATAGGTGGAGGGTGTCGTTTGTGCTCTGGTGCAAATGGAGGTGTGACTTAGAGGTGGGGATGGGGAGGGGGTAGAGGAGGGGGCGGTTCAGTTGAAGGTACAGGTAGAGGAGGCCTTGCTTTGACCCTGCCCCCCCTGGGGACCAGGGTGCCGGATGATGTCATCAGACTGAATGGACTCCCTTGTCCATTGTGATGCGCGTGTGTCCTTAGCAACCAGAGAAGGGCAGCCGTGGGAGCTCAGCGGGTCCGCCTACACCGGGCCTTGGAGAGGGGCAACACAAACCACAGGGCATCCGGTCACCTGCACAGACCCAGGTCGCTGGGGGCGGGGCCTTGCGGCAGTGACCTCCAAGCCTGGGGGGCAGAGGCAGGCATCAGCTAGCGCCCCAATGACCTTCAAGGGCTGTGCTTCGAGGGCACCATGCTGGTGGCCCTGCGCCCGTGCCTGTGCTGCACATGGCGGACAAGGTCCAGGCCTGGCCCTCAGCTGCAGGACAGCTGCGATGCGGCCACGTGGCTCGGAGCAGGGCAGGCTCTTGGGACCTGTACGGTGACCCACACACACACGCAGACGAACTGGGGTACAGAAGGGTGAGTGGCACCCGTATGGGCCCCGTACAGCTGTGCCCCGGACATTCGGCCTTGGGGAAAAGATCGCCGGCCCTTTCTGACGCGTGTCTGCGGGAACCTGAACCTCCAGCTGCCGGGAAACCGGTCAGCACAGCACAGTCTGGCCATGACGCCTAACCTCTGCCACGGTCAACCAGCAGCCACCCTGCCGCCCGGGAGAAAGACGGGGCTTTCCATGCGGGACAGTCTGCTTGCTTGTTGACTTTGTTCCTTGTCTTCTTTTCCAGGAAATCCAGGTGGGTAAATCTGTGGGGACAGTGCCTGGCAGAACGGTCCCGGGGGCGTGGAAGGGGAGGTGGGGGGCATGCGGAGAAAAGAGGTTCTGACACGGCTGATTGTACAGCTCTTCTCCACGTGATTGAACTCCTGAATGGTAGGACCTCAGTTCGATGCCAAGAAGACTTGTGTCTGGGGGGTCGGCGGGGGGTGGAGTTACAGTCTTGGAAACCCACAGGGGCAGTGGTTCCCCCCAGTCCGTGAGCCCACGCAGGGACAGAGAAAGTGGGGCAGCCCTGGGGCAGGAGCAGCTTCCGTCTCCTGCAGAGACTCCTTGGGAAGCCGGAGCCAAGGAGGGCGGGCGGTGAAGCCCTGAGAAGCTAGTGCTACCAGCACACCGGAGAAAGGCCGGCGTCAGCCTCCTTCCTGTGGCCCGGGAGGTGGCGGCATGAGTCGGATCCACCCCACAGCAGATGGTCGGCTGCAGCCACCGGCGCCGGGCACGCAAAGTCCATGCGGAAAGATGCCCGTGACAGAGTGGGCCCTTTAAAGGCCATCGGCGTTGGCTGCAAGATGCAGTATGGGGTCCTCTGAATTCGAGAAGGACGAGGGGGGAAAGACCCCCCCCCCCCCCCCAGCCGCCTGGAGGACCCACAGAGGCCATGCAGCAGGACGGAAGGCCCAAGCCGGGGTGTGGGACGAGGACAGTGGATTTGCAAACTTGCCCGCGGGGCGTGGCCAGGCCGAGAGGTTGCAGGCCTGCTTTGGAGAGGTGGACTCCGGCCCTGGGCCAGCCGGTCCACCCTGTGTTTGCAGCGCCTGAACAGGTGGTTTGGGGGAGAAACACAGGTGATCTGATCGGTGGGCGGGGAAGCCTGCAGGAGCTGCTCTACTGAGGGACGGACACACTTCCCTTGTGTCCCCAGCCCCCCGCCGCCCGCTCGACTGAGCTACCAGAGCCAGGAAAACGCCCACACTCGGCCGGTTGATTTCTTCTCCCTCATCCCGTGTGAAGTGTTCCAAAGCCAGGGCCCCTGACCAAGCCAGGGTGCCGGCACTCGCCGCGGAAGCACGTGCATGTCGGACATCGAGTAAGTGAAGACCCGAACAGTCGGTGTGTTGCACTGACGGTGCTGGGGGGACACGGAGAGTCCCACGGGCTCCCGGAAGGACAAAATGTTCTGTCTTGGAAGAAGTACAGCCAGTGGGCTCCTTCGAGCCCAAAGGACGGGGAGACTTTGTCTCGTGTCCTTTGGGTGTGTCTTCAGGACACATGGCACCCTGGAGAAGGACACTGCTTGGTCAAGCAGAGGGACGAGGGGGAAGGGCCTCTAGGAGATGGACGGACACCGTGGCCGCAGCCGTGGGCTTGGGCATGAGAACTGGTGAGGCCGGGCGGCGCAGGACCGGGTGGTGTTCCGTTCTGTGGTGCACGGGCGACGGATGGCTCAGGGGCCCCCAGCAGCAGCAGCCGTTTTGTTTCCGGTGGCTGGCCTCGAAGCGCCCGTCCCAACTCACCGCCGCGCAGAATGACCCCACAGGCCGGGAGCGCTGCCCCTGCGGGTGTGTCCCCCTGGGCGCAGACCTTCACAGGGGCAGGCAGCCACACCTTTCTCCCGAGGGTTTCAGCCACTGGCCCTGATTAGTAGCTCAATGTGCAGCCCTCCTCCCCCACTGTCCTGGCCCCTTGAAGTGAATATCGATGTATGGACCTCATCATCTGGAGAGCATTGAACAATGTGAGCGTCCTGCAGGATCAACTCGCAGCCATCGTATTGAATCGAGTAGATTCCCACTCACATGGGTCCTACAGCACAGGGTGGGACGCCCCTGCCCCAAGACTCACTGTACAGGAGTACAAAGCCTCATCGTCGTCCTCCGTCAGCTGGGCTGGTGGATTTGAACTACTGCCCTTGCGGTGAGCAGCCCAACACATAACCACGACGCCACCAGGGCTCCATTCCATAGTTGGGGGACATCCCTCTAAGCCCCAGTCATGCTGCTACCAGATGGGCAGGGGCATCTGGGCCCTGGGCTCACTTCTCAGCAGCAGGGCTGGCGTAGGAAGCCTGGTGGCCCAGGGGTCCACACGGCGCGGCTAAGTGCAGGGTTAGCCCTTGCATAGGAGAGTCGTGAGGCGCTCTGCTCCCCTAAAAGACTTGCAGTCTGCCTCAAGGCCTCCCCTAAACACAGGAACACCTCCTTCTATTAACCTGGCATCTTTGATACTCGCCTTCACAACACGGTCGCTGGAGACAAATGGATGCATAAGCAAATGTGGCGAAGAAAGCTGATGGTGCCCGACTATCAAAAGATATAGCGTCTGAGGTCTTGAAGGATTGAAGTTAAACAAGCAGCCATGTAGCTGAGAAGCAACAAAGCCCACATGGAAGAAGCACACCAGCCTGTGTGATCATGAGGTGTCAAAAGGGATCAGGTATCAGGCGTCAAAAGATCCAAAACAATTCTTTCGGTGCAAACGAGGGGGATTGGAGTGGAGCCCCAAAGCCCATTGACAAGTGGCCACCCCCCCACAGAAGGGTCAGGAGGAAGGGAGGATTCAACCAGGGTGCAGTACAGCACCGATGAAACACGCATCATTCCTCTAGCTCCTGAATGCTTCCCCACCACTACCGTGACCCAGTTCTACCGTACAAATCCGGCTAGACCGGAGCACACGCATTGGTCAAGTAAGAGCGCTGGACACTTGGAATTCAGGACACATAAACCCCTCGGGAACAGTAGTGTAGGGATATCATGAGGTCAGGGGATGGTGTGGGGAAGCGGGAGAAAGGGCCACCCATCACAAGGTTGGATACATAGTCCCACCCACCCAGGGGACGAATAACAGAAACATGGGTGAAGGGCGACAACAGACAGTGTAAGACAGGAAATCACAGCAGTCATACAGAATCGATCAAGGATTCCCGAGGGAGGGGAACAGAGGAGCCGGTACCAAGGGCTCAGGTAGAGAGACAATGCTTTGGAAATGATGGCAGCATGTGCGAGTGTGCTTAACACAATCGGATGACGGGTGGTTATAAGATTTGTAAGGGCCCCCAATGAAGTGATTCATGACTGACAAATAAATAAAGAGAAAGGACCGGCAGTCTCAGAAAGAAGCCGTGCAGCCTGCCCTGCAGGGCGGCTCTGGCCCTGAAGATTCTCAGTGGCTGTGAGGGAGGAGGCCAGGTGGGGTTTATCATGGAGTCCCGGCACCTCGTGTCTGTCCAGGCGTCAGACACCCACCCAGGGAACAGAGCAAAGCCACACCGCCATCCACTTCCCCCAAACTCCCATAAAGCCACGCGCCCGTTTATATCAGGAAAACGGATGCACACAGCTGAGAAGCGGTGCTCTCAGGGCTTAAATTAAAAGTGATTCAGAACAAACCGTTGACCGTTGACATGTAGTTCAGTCGATCACACTCATTTAAAGCCAGGTCCCTGTCGCCGGTGGACAGCAACCAGGAGAACATCGGGGTTTGCAAAAGCTAGTCCGCTCGGAGAGCGCTCTCCTGGTGGCCACTGCTCTGCCTGGGCAGGTCAAGCCGGCCGCAGCAGCAGCAGCAGCGTGCAAAGTGTCTGGCAGAAGGAGCGCAGCCCAGGGGAGGGACAGAGGGCAGTTTGGGGCTGAGCCCTTTTGACGTCAGACGCCACCGAGCACAACAGGATTCCATACAGGTGCCACGCATCTGGGGTGCTAGCTCTGGAGCCGTCCACCCACTGGT